TAAACCAATAGAACTTAACTGTGTAGCTATAAACCCGTCCCATATTTGATCTTTGGTCGATGTGTAATTATAATCCAGGTCTTTAGCTGCCCCTTGCCACTTTTCGACGCGGCTTCCATTTCCACTCGGCGGCATACATCTTGGCATTTAATAAGAAGTTGGCCTTGAAGGCAGCGAGTTTCAAATTTGTGGATTTGGTTTCTGAGCCGCACTTCAGCAGTTTAGCCCCAGAACAGAACACAGCACTTTGTGCCGAGTGTGTGTGATTAATGGGATTTTCGTTAGAGAAGCCTGCGCTTAGCTTTGACTTCAACTTCTACTTCACCGCAGCAAAGGGTTCAGCGTTATGAACTATAAAATTCTCGTAAGCTAAGCTACCAAAGAGTAATCCAGTAGGGATTAAGCTGGAACGTATTCAAGGCTTTCTAGTGATGATTGCTGGAAAGGAGTATAAAACGGAAGCTTAAAACGTTAGGTTTGGGATTATAGAGTAAAAAGTATTAAAAGGAAATAGTACCTAAAATCAACTCTTGATTTCTAAAGGCAAAAAAATATTACAATTTAAAAGCTGTACTTTAATTTAATTAATTTATCTTTAAAAGGTCAAAAATTTAATAAAGATTTTAATCCCTTAAATATATATTCGTTTTTAATTGTTTGGAAATAAGAGGTCTAACCTTTTTATTTAAGCCTATATTGTATGTATATATAATTTCAATCTTGAAAAATATTTTAAGAGATGGTTTTAAAGCAACTAAGTATGGATTTTTCAAAGAGTTGTCACTTCCCCGACACTTACAAAACACATTACTAAGCATATGTATGTGTCACAGAATAAATTACAATTTTCCATTAAAATGGCAATTAATTAATGTCAACTAGGTTTGCAGCCTTGTTATGCTGGACATGTTGATGTCAGCACATTTGTCGCTGCAAATTAGAGGAAATGTGTGCTCATGTTTCGGTCTGCAAGTGTGGCCAAACTGGAGGCCGCCGATCCAACATCGATCCGCGCTAATTGCCATTAATCAGAGGCGTTTGTCTGGGAAAAAAAAAAGGGGGAGAAGGTGGGGTGCCCATTTAGTCAGCTGACATCTCCATTCGGTCAGCAATTATCCGCTGCACTCTTGACTGGGTAAATCTATATACAAGTGTAGGCACATGCCCACCGCTTTAAGATCGCTCTCCGGCTAAGTTAAGTAAGTCCGCAAGGCCCAGACCTCAACACGCCCAGAACTAGAAACCAGAAACCCAGAAACCGCCCCCTCAACCACTCAACCACATGACATGCGAAGCGGTATCAATTTATCGTACTGAGAATGCTTGCCAGTCATTGGAAAAGCGATTCAACAAAATTTAAAACAATTTAGCTTATGTCACGTCTGCTCAGTGCCGAAAGGGGGGAAAAATCGGGGGGAAAACGAAGAGTTTCAAGCGCTTAGAACAAAGCGCCACAAATTGTATTGTGTCACGCTCGATCTGTGGCCATGCGAACGGGGATATAAGCCCCACATATTCATATGTATATTTGCTAGGCTATATAAACATACATGTGTATACATATCTTTGCGGGCACTTATAGTGTTCGGCCATATAGATATGACTCTGGCACATAGTCATATGCACATGCTATTTATACGTTTATTCATTTAGTTCGCTTGTTTTAATTATAATTAACGCTGCTTTGTAAATTAACCAGCGGAAAACGAAGCATCCGAGGGGTTTTTCGGTTGCCCCAATGGAAAATAGTTGATTTGGATTAGTTTAGAGTATCGGAAATTATCAGTAAGTAATGCTTTCATTTAGATACAAATCATTTGGGTTAACTGCTTCTGGCGTGTCTATGTCATCACGCACATACAACTAGAATGTCATGTCAAAAACGTATAAAACTAAAGCGAAAGGTTCGTTTGTCTATCTTGATTATAGGGCAATCAGTTTGTCCTAAGAATAAGCTTTTAATTTAACAATGGTTAGTAAAATAATTATTGTTATATGTTCCTAAAATTTTTAAAATATATTTGATTAAACCATTTTCAGCATTAACATCAATTCTGGTAATCTTTTTGTGACTAAAACAAAGAGGTCAAGTTATGGAAGCTATTTAGAAACTAAAGATATATAAATACAAACTATTAGGTACACATTCTTAAACCGCAATCATTGTAAGTTTGATCTACATTTAACACAATTTTAGCACAATTTTTAGCTACAATTTTAGATTTTAGATTTAGATCTCGGTAAGTTTAATTTTAATCTGGTTCTGAAAAGTTCAGGCCGAATTGATCTCTTTTGAACTTCAACAAAATGATTTTATTGGAAAAGTATCTTTCCATTTATGTGTCATATTATGTAAAACAGTGTATTAGGCTTAATGCCAAATGAGTTGTTCTAAGTCCCACACCTTTTGTAACGCATATTTTGTATTAGCTTAGGACTCATTTTAGCCTATTATTTCAGCCCCAACAGATTGTCAATCGTGGATGAGTTTATGCCATTCCGATGACGTGCTGAAAGCCTCTGAGCAGGTTGTCAATCAGGTTGTCGCACACACATCCCGAGCGGCGCCTTAATAATTGATCCCGCCTGCAGCTGGATGACGATGGCGATGGCTGTTGGATAGGACGGTGTGCTACACAGAGAGAAAATATATGAAATGATATTGGATATATGAATTTGATCAATTTATGATGTAGGAGGCTTTAAACTGTTATAGAAGTTAAAAGAGCATAACTATAAAAAACAATCTCAACAAATAAACAATGTAGTTGTGAAATGGATATTGAACTGATTTATTTTCTGTGTAGTGGATGGTACAGCTGGTGTAGTGGTGCTGACAGGCACCGAATCCGGCGACTCCAGCGATGATGCCAACTCCAACTGGGCCATGACGTGAGGCGAACGCATCAGAGTGGAGCTCGAGCCCAAAGGAAGCGTGTGAAATCCCATTTGGCTAATGGCCAACGGCGTCAGTAGGAAAATCAACCTGTTTCGTAGTATGTAACCCTCCCCTCCCTTCCCGCCCTGCGAAACTGGGAAAACTCGCTTCCAATTTCCACAGCGACACAGCGAATGTGGGCCAACCAGCATGTCTTTTGTGTTGGTGGGAAAACGGGTTTTTCATTCGGGTTCTGCAACTGTTTTTTTTTTTTTTTTTTTTTTTTTCGGCGACTCCGACTCGCTGACACGCTGGCCTCCTTTTTCTTCGTTCCAGCACTGGCACTCCTAGCTTTTCCACTTGCTGTGCTGATTTTCCTCATTTTCCTGCAGCAGGATCGGACTGCGGGAAAATCAGGGGAAAATGTAATGAGGGGGGGCGGTGGCGGTGGCCCTGGAAGAGCAGGCGAGATTTTCCAAGGGGGTGGCTGGGTGGCCCAACAGGGTGTGTCGGGGTCACCTTTGCTGCCTTGTTTTTCGGGGGTGGTTAACCATAAAACGGGGCGCTGTGCTGGAGTTCTGGGGCTTGGGCTCTCGTGGGTTGGTGCGATGATATCAGCCTTTGGGGGTGGATGTTTTTCCGCAAGGCGCTCAAAGCACAAAGCACTAAGATTAAACCTACCCCCTGCTTAAATCGTCATAATCAAAAGTGCCCCGCTGGAAATCAATATCGGAGCGGGGTGCAGCATTGCTCATACGCAACGTGAGCCGGACAAAGAACTTAATTAAAAGTGATTCACCCCAAAAAGAAAAACTGCCTGGCGAACGTTGCATGCATCAACATAAATCTGTGTGTGGCGAATCCCATGCAAATCCGCCAATTTTTCTCTTCGCCTGACCCACAATCTCCTTCTGATTTGAAATTCGAATTTGGCGCGAGTTCATCGGCAGTTCAACAAACTTCCCACAACAAGCCAAAACACAGCGAAAAAAGGGCAAACACAAATTTATGCTCGAAACCCAGAACAAAAGAAAGCTCAATTTATGGATGATGTTTGCCTTGGCGCAAGCCAAGAAGTATTTTAAATTGGGTAAAGTCAAGGCAACGGCAGCTAAATTGAGAAATTCCTTTTCCCATCATCAAACTTATTTGATTTTCAAACAAGTTACACTTTGCAATTTCAATAAAGAACTTTAAATAAATTATAGGTATATTAATCAGACCATTTTCCAGCAAATGTAATTACAGAACATATAATAAAACAATATATTTTAATACGTCAACAATAAAATGCAAATTGAATCTTAACAAGCCCAAGTCGAATTGTTTTTATTAAGTTTCCAGCTTAATTTGTTATTAATTCCAAATAGCTTTGGTAAGAGTTCGTAACACAGTAAACGAATCTTTTTCCACTTTACAAATTATATATATTCTTGATCAGCATAACTAGGCGAGTTTTTATACCGTTGGTGCGGTCAGTTAAAAAGCTAGAGACTTGAAACTTTAGAACTTGTCTTTTTTTATACTATATACTACTATATCATACTTACTTGATATTTTACAAAGCTGCCACAGAAACGATCGCGTAAAATTGAAGAATGTATGTATGTATATATCGCTGCCAGATATCATTTCGTATCTATCTCTTGAGTTGACTATATCCTAAATCTGTCATCAATTTCGGTGTGACATCAAGGGTATTACAATTTTTTCTATTCTCGTACAGTTTAAGTTTTCAATAAAAATCATTTAATAATTAACTTAACAGATGGTAGGCTTCGATTTGTATTTTAGTTCTGTGTTCAATTAACCATGTTATGAGATTCGAAGCCATGATCTTACTGATTAAATAAGGTACAATCCATATATTTCAAAATTTTTAGGTGTCTCCCCTTCGAATGTTTTGAAAGGCTTGAAGGAATTTTTTTAATTATTAGGTTCAAGTCCCAATAATAAGGTAGGATTGTAACCATAATGACCTGTTTTGGGGGCGTGTTGGGTCTGTCGCCCACTCAATTAGGTACTGCCAGTAATCCTGTCATTAAACACGGCCAGCTGCCATTTCTTCGGGCTGGAAAACAATTATTAAACAATTAGCCGGTACTCGTGGGGAGTCTATATAAAGGAGGAGATTCTCTGAGGGGGAAAAGTCATGTATCCGCGATTTCTAGACCGCAACTATCCGCTGGCGAAGCATCTGTTCTTCGTGACCAGATACTCCTTTGGTCTTTTGGGCCTGGTATTTGGCCAGAAGCAATCGTGGCTCCAACTCTCTTGGCTGCTGTTCAATTTCGTGAATCTGGCGCACTGCTGCCAGGCGGAGTTCCTCTTTGGCTGGATCCACTTGCGCACCAGTCCCGTGGACGCCATGGATGCCTTTTGTCCATTGGCCTGCAGTTTCACCACGCTCTTTAAATTGGGTTGGATGTGGTGGCGTCGCCAGGAGGTCACTGATCTGATGGAACGCATCCGGTTGCTTATTAAGGACCAGGAGAATCGGGGAGATTCCCGCAGAGACTCGGCGCAGAGGAGCTACTATGAGATGGTGACCAGGTGCGGAATGCTGGTCTTCACCATGGGCAGCATCACCACCGGTGCCTTCGTCCTGCGATCCTTTTGGGAGATGTGGGTGCGTCGCCATCAAGAGTTCAAATTCGACATGCCCTTTCGCATGCTGTGGGTGGTTGTATATAAATCCAACTAGGCGGTAACACATCTGATCCCTTGGATGTTCCATAGGTTCCCTGAGTTTGCTCATCGAATGCCCTGGTTCCCATTTTTTTATATCTACTCCACTTGGAGTGGTCAGATCACGGTGTATGCCTTTGCTGGAACTGATGGTTTCTTCTTCGGTTTCACCCTCTACATTGCCTATTTGCTCATGGCCTTAAGATACGATGTTCAGGATGCACTCAAGCCAGTGAAAGGTGGTTATTAAATCTCGGTAATAACAAAGCAACCCCTAGTTTATTAATTATTTCCAGAACCTTCAGTTAGAGAATGCAATATCTGCTGTCAACGCTTGGCGGATATTGTGGATCGTCACAACGAAATAGAGAAGATTGTCCAGGTGTTCTCTGGAATAATGGCAGCGCCCACTTTTGTCCACTTTGTATCGGCCAGCTTAGTGATAGCCACCAGCGTGATTGATATACTATTGGTGATAACTTACTTTTTGACCTAATCTCTCTGTCTCAAATGAATTATCACTTTAGTATTCCGGCTACAATATCATCCGGTATGTGGTTTATACATGCACTGTTTCCTCGGCTATATTTCTTTACTGCTATGGTGGAACTGAAATGTCCACTGAGGTGGGTAAACCTTCAAGAAACCTTTAACTTTTCTTCAAATTTTCCTCTGATATTTCTAGAGCCTTGCTTTGGGGGAAGCCGCCTACAGTAGCGCCTGGTATAATTGGGATCGGGAAACTCGAAGGCGGGTTTTTCTCATCATCCTGCGAGCTCAACGACCCATTACAGTGAGGGTTCCCTTTTTGGCACCTTCATTACCACTTTTTACCTCGGTGAGCTCATTATTCTACTGCATTTAAAGAGATAACATAACTGGATTACTTGTTAGGTCATCAAGTTTACTGGTTCCATTGTGGCTCTGGCCAAAACTATATTGTGAAATGGCAGTACCAATAAATATGTATTTCCAATTCAGTTTCTTGGTTGTTCTTTAAATTAGTTTGTGGTTTTAACCTAGCCCAAAAGTATGCAACCTAGGCAAACATAAAAGAAAAGTTATGCATTGCAAGTCAATTGTTTGATTTTGCGGAGGTCAAGGGTTCAAATGTAGTGATTAAAGGTTTGCTGGCAAAACGACGATTTTTCATATGAAACCATAAAATCGCCCATATCGAACAAACCCACTGCTTCAATAAAAGTATAAAAGTTAAGAAAAGTTTAGTGAAAATAGGATTTCCCAGCTTCTAATCGGTTACACAGGTCGTATACGTAATCAGTTATGACCGGAGATTCAATGGCAAATAAAGTTTTGTGGCCAAGGCACGTGAGCATGGTTTGGCATTGTATTTTGGTCCGTTCTACGACTTCGGTTAATCAATTCTTGGCCACCCATAAATGATGATTTGATTCAACCGTCTAGATTAGTCTTCTTTGGCCTGCCCTGATTAGATTTACTCCGATACTGCGCGATAGCTCCGAAACGATGGCCAATTCCCTGGTCTGGTCAGTCGATTTAGTCTTCAACCAAGGTCTGACCTCCACACAAGTCGCTTGGGTAACCAGGATTAGCTGAAAATGGCCAAGCGATTCATTCTATTGCTCTTCGTCGCCGTCTGGCTGAGCGGAAGTGCAAATGGACAGAGAGGTAAAGTGTCCTGATCGTGATTAGAAGTTCAAAGTTATAGTAATTTGGTTAAATGCCAATGCTTCAAAAAAATGTTTTTTTAAATTTCAAATGATCGAAATAACTATCACTTTTTAAATAAATCTCTTTGAAGTAATAAATGGATTCTAAAATATAAATTTAATAAAAATGGAATCGGTCCCAAATATTAAATATTTTTCATAGCGCCTTACTAATAGATCGGTGGTCATATAAATTCTATAACGAGTTGATTTGTGATAAAATTCTTCGAAATGGTTGCTTATCTCTAAGTGCGTGTATTTCAATCAATTAATCCCAATCATATATTAGAAAAGCCCTGAGCTCAATGTGATTAAGTTCCTTAAGTTTTTTTTTTAATTGGTAAGAGTACTACTGATATGATAGAAAACTAGTGAGCTTAAAGGGATTTATTAGGGAGAGATTTATATTTCTTAGAATTTGTGTTATATTTTTCAATAACCAATATGTGTATTAATTAATATAGTTAGGATACCTTGGTTTAACTTCCATAAAATAGCCGCCTTAAAACCCCCTCCATTTTCTCCATTTTGCAGATCACCCACGTGGCCGTTCTTTCGATGCCGCAGCGCATCCCATCAAGCATCCGGAGGAGCAGCAGAGCCAGTACTGGGTGGACAAGGCTCAGGCCAAGTTGCTGTCCAAACTGGCCGAAACACAGGCGGCGCACACGAACAAGGCCAAGAACGTGATCATGTTCCTGGGCGACGGCATGTCCGTTCACACGGTCACGGCCACCAGGAATCTGTTGGGCGACAGTGCGGAGCAGGTGTTCTTCGAGGGATTCCCCTACACGGGACTGTCCAAGACGTACTGTGTGAACCGGCAGGTGGCCGATTCCGCCTGCACGGCCACCGCCTATTTGGGCGGTGTGAAGGGCAACTACGGAACCATTGGCGTGAACGCCAATGTGCCCAGGTACAGTTGTGATGGCGACTCAAAGGTGGAGGATCAGGTGCTCAGCATTGCCCAGTGGGCACAGGCGGCGGGCAAGGATGCAGGACTCGTGACCACCGCTCGGGTGACCCACGCCTCGCCAGCTGGCGTTTATGCCCACACCGCAGATCGCAATTGGGAGAACGACTGGGAGGTGGCCAACAGGGGCTGTGATCCCGAACAGACCATCGACATTGCCCGCCAGCTGGTGGAGCAGCCTGTGGGTCAGCAGCTCAAGGTGATCCTCGGTGGAGGTCGCCAGAACTTCATCAACACCACGGTCAACGATGAGGAGGGATATGCCGGTCTGCGCACCGATGGTCGTCACCTAATCCGCGACTGGTTGGATCAGAAAAAGGAGGCCAATGTCTCCGCTAACTACGTTTGGAGTCGCAAGGGTCTCAGTCTGGTGGATCTGGAGAATACCGACTATCTCCTAGGTCTCTTTGCCAATTCCCACCTGCCCTACAATGGAGATCGGGACAGGAAACGCAGTCAGTTGGCGGATCCTTCGCTGACTGAGCTCACCGAGGCTGCGATTAAGGTTCTGAGTCGCAACAAGGAGGGATTCTTCCTGTTTGTCGAGGGTGCTAGGATCGATATGGCACATCATGATACCTTCGCCAGGAGATCTCTGGAGGACACCGCCGAGTTTGCGAACGCCGTTCAGAAAGCCCGCGAATTAACCTCCGAGGATGACACTCTGATCGTGGTTACCGCCGATCATTCTCATGTGATGTCCATCAATGGTTATCCTGTAAGTATTTCGGGGACTTTCCATTTTACTAGTGAGGTTTATGACTCGGAATCTCTTTTATCTGCTAGTTCCGTGACCAGGAGATCACTGGATTGGCCCAGCTGGCCGATGACAACCTGCCCTATACGATTTTGTCGTATGCCAATGGACCTGGTTATTACTCTGCTTACAATCGTGCTGAGGGACGGGCCCTGCTGAAGGAAAAGTTGGTGGCGGACTCGGACTATCGGTATCCCACGTTGGTGCCTTTGGATTCGGAATCCCATGGAGGCGACGATGTGGCGGTGTATGCCTCGGGACCCTATGCGCAGTATTTCAGTGGGAACTACGAGCAGAGCAACATTCCGGCTCTGATGAGTCGGGCAGCTGGCATCGGTCCCTATGCCTAGGATACATCTTTCTTTCTTAGTACATGTACATACATACATACGTATATCACCTCCTGGCTGAGATAACCCAATTAAAATGCATCATAGCTAACGGGGCGAATCGAATTCCTTCTAATTGAACTGGCAAGCTGCGCAATTTCCTGCGAAGCAGTGGAACTGTTGCTCCTCGATAAATGCCACCTGACGGCAAATTCAATTAACTACCAATGGCAACTGGCGTCTGACAACCTGCAGGCAGCCCCAATCAGTCAGTTGCAATCACTCTCGGACCGGGCCAATTGCCCAGGTGGTTGGTTACTGGCCAAGTGGAGCAAAAATCGTGGCCAGAATCAACGGACAGCTGTTTCGTGCACAATCATAAATCCGGGCGAATATGGCAAATGACAGGGATCCGTCGGGGAACACTGGTTTTCTGAGTGGAAGGAGTCCATGAATATATGAATGAGCTCCAGTTGTCAAACCGCCCCATAAAAAACCAAATGCATACAGGGTGGAATTTCCATGACAGCGAATTTTCAGCAGCTCATCTTCAAGCAAAATCACTGCACCACTGCACAAATTCCTCCTGGATATTATTTTTCAATACTTTTTTTACTTTCACTACGTTTATGCGTACGCTATATTGGTAATAATTACCTATTTGGAATATTTCAACATAAATTAAAATTACTGAATTTTAAAAAACATAATAACTAATTAAAATATGGGAATAGACTAATTGTTAGCTCAGAATACTATTTTAAGCAAGATTTCTAGAAATTTGTAAATTGTGATTACTATGGTTCAAAATTATTTGCTGTGACAATAGTTTTTAAAACATAAGAGATTTTGGTTTAGTGACTAAAGTTTAGTCACAGTGGCATGTATTTCTCAATTGAAAGTTGAATTGATTTTTAGCTTGAGCTTTTCTATAAGTAATATTTTTCGTATTCCAGACTGCTGAGCTTATAGATACAATTTCTATTTATTTTCGAATTTCTGAAAGTATTTCCAAATAAGTTCCAATTGCCAATAGGACCTCCCATAAACGAAGCTTGTAACCTCCGTCTGAATGATTGAATTATGTTTTCCATTTAGTGTCAACATGTGATGATTGACGATTCCCGAGGGCCAAAAGGAATATTCGTTAACGGGTTGGGTTCCATTTCCGTTTTCACTTGGTCTGTGCCAGATTTTTATTTTCGTTATTTTCGGGCAATTTCCGCTACAATTTCTGTTTAACGAGAGCTTCAGTTTGCTCAGTTTCGATTTGTGCGGCCAAGAGAGGGCCTAGTTTCGCCTGGACAGGGCTTAATCACAAGGTTCTGGTTTCGTCCAAAGAGGCGGTGCAACGGGCCTAGAGAAACTAAAAACTGGGTCATCAAGAGTGTGGGCAAAAGGGGGACATCCAAAGAAATGCAGCTGCGGTCTGGTTCTTGTTTTTTCCACCGACTGGATGGGGATACTACCAATTATGTATATCAGTATCTGTATCTGCAGGGCCAAAAGAAGAAGAAACATCGAGGAGAAAACTGGGGAACAAAAACTAATGGCAGCATACACAAAATGTGCTCGCAACTAATGGTGCTGCTTCATAGCTGACTCAGCCAAGAAGCTTGCCGCAAAGATACAAAGATATACAATACAGATACGCGCACTCACAGATAGAAAAACACGTGACTGTGTTGGAACGAAGGCGACAGCGACTCGACTGGAAAGCTTTTTAACGAAACTCCAATGCCATCTCTTTCGCACGGCAGCGCGCGCGCGCACATCTAAGCCGATTCAAATGGCCATGTAGAGCCAGAGCCACAAAGCTGCAGCGCCGCGCTTTTTTGTATCTTTCGGATACGTTGGGACGCGGATTGGGGGTCGGGAACGGGGCCACATAATGTACGGCCAGGCCAGGCCAGTAGGGGAATTTTTTGCTTTTGCGCAGCGACGTCGGCAGAGCGCTAAGTGTGCCACATTCTGTTTCCAAGCGCTCACACAGATACGCCACACACACACACAAGTCGCGTTGGGCATTTTTTCTACTCTACACTATGCACTCATAAAAAAATTAGACCTACATTTCAGAGACTTGCCGTTCAAATCGTATTTTTTTCTTAACATCTTTGTCAACGAAGTTTTTTTTATATAAATATAGATATTTTACTCAGCTACAAATTTAGTCAGTTAGTAAAAAAGGAGATGATGTCTCCCCATAAAAAAGTTTATTTTTAATAAGGTGACCCCCCTTCTCTCACTAAAAAACTATTTCAATTTCTAAAATTCAAATTTTCATAAATTAATTTTGTTCAATGCTTACTTATAATTATAAATTATTTCCAAAATCCATTTCAAATTTATAAATATAAAGCAGTTTATTTAAATATATAAACTTTATTTTTGTGGTTTTAAAACAGTCTACTTGTAATTAAAATGATATTCATTGTGCGCCTATCTTAAAGACACGAGTGCGGCCAAATATTAAAATTGTAAGTTTCAAATTTTGTACAAGTGCACCACTACACAATCGTCGTTTATCAGCCTTATGACAAATTCATGTGAATTGGCAACGAAAACACGCGGTGGCGGGGGCACTGCGATGACTGCAGCATTTCAATTAATGCTGAATTCGTGTCGCACAATAGATAGATACACCCGTACATTTCGGTTTTCCAAGCCTGTAACCGCTCTCTCCGCATTTATCGACATTTGTGTTTACTTAACCCAAATGCGCCCCACCAAACGAACCCAGGGGGCGGTGGGTTATGTAAGCCTGGGTGCGGAAATGGGCTACATATATACGGGGTACCATATATATGGGGCCTTTGCTCCAATGAAACGAGCTTTTTTAAGTGTTAACCCACACACACGGGTCCCAGATACACATTATGGCCATAAGGGAGGAGGAAAAGTATCTCAAACGCAGGGCTTTTTAAAATTTTGCCATTTATACATTTAATATTTGTTTTGTATACATATTAATTTTTATATATATATTGTTCTCTTAATGGATAGTGTTACTTATTTCGATTGTAATGGATTATTATTTATCAATGTAGATTTGTTGTGGTTTCTTGTGTCGCAGCTTTCGTTTATGAATGTATATATTGTGTCGGTCGATCGGTGAACGCATGTCTGTACATACATCATATACATCACTTGTTAGCCATTGCAAACGGAATTAGTCTATAAATGAGTTGGGCCTTTGGCTAGAAAGCTAGCCCTTCCTTCCTTCCTCTACTCTCTTCTCCACTCCTCGCTTTCTACATGAGCACTTTTGCTCGGCTTCAGGCTTCAATTCAGTTTAATTCAAAATACATTTTGACTTGCGTAAATACAGTGAATGTTCATTTGCGGTAGAGACTACAAACTAATAGAGTTGCTGCAGTAAGTGCTTGAGTGTCGAGTGGGAGTGGTTGTGGGATAGGGGCTAATAACACGTACATAACTCGCAAATTGCCTAACGTAGGATAATGAATTTAGAATCGATCTCGCTCCGCTGCCCTTCCACTTCCACTCGCTGCGCGGCAATCAAACTCGATTTACATTACGTATTTATATTTAGAAATACATATTTTATATAATTATATAAAGATCTATATAGATAATGGCTCCGAATCTGTGCCACGCTCTTTCTATATCTCTCTGATTCTAACAGCGTTTATCTTTACATGGAGGATCGATTATACGTTTAACAAGCTAGAGGTGTTCAATGTATTTCCATTTCAGTTAATAATCAGTTCATAAAAAGTATGTAGGTAAAAAACAAAACGTAGCGCTTACATTGCGTATAAGAAGATCAAACATTGGTTGGTTCTGGTTACTGTTACAGTGGCTGCTGTTGTTGTGCGGGAACATTTTAAAAGTTAACGTATACGAGTAGACTAACTGAGGGACTCTTAGAGGCTACGAATTTGCAAATGATACATCATTGAGTTGGCTGGGAGGTAAGAGCTACTTTGACAACTCGAATAATTATTGACTTGAGGATCTTTCAAACATTCAGCTTCTGTTCTCTTCAATTCACGTCTATAAATATCGCTATCAGCGGGGTTGAGAGTAGGTTTACTAGGTCTCTGCTTCCTGGTTATTCGCTCCTTCAATATGTGTACACAAATTTCATATGTGGCCGTTGTTGCTGCTACGTCTTTTGAATCTTCTCTTTGATCTAAATGTTGTTCTTTGCTGGATGTGTAGCAACAACAATCTACATATTTACATCGCATTTGTTAGTTTTTTCGCATTTTCATCGTACATTTTGCAATTTTTTTGTAGAAAATATTTTTCCTTTTTCGATTTTCATTTTTTTTTCTTGTTTTGTTTTGTTTTTTTCTTTTCTTTTTTATCTGTTTGATTGATTTCTTTACACAGTATCTGTCATCAACAGTTTAACGTCTTCATCTACCATTTATAATACAACTCAATTAAAAATTTGTAACATTCCCCGGCGAAAGGGGAGGCATTTAAAATGTTATCGTTTCCGTTCGTTTAAATACAAGTCGAATTTCGGTTTCTAGCACTGCAGTTGGCCTGGCCTGCTGTTGCTCTATTCTTATTGTTGCGGTTGCTTGTTGTTTTGTAAATGTTTGTGTCTGCTGTTGCTGATTTCACTGTCTCCTTAAAACGATTCACTAAGAGCTAAACACAGTAATGGTTAGTAGAATTCAATGAATGCAGTGCTGTGCTGTGTTTTTTTTTTGGGGTGGTGTGCCTGCCCAGGCAGCTACTGCCTGCGTCTGGGTCTCGCGCAGACCTCCAGACAGAAGCGTCGGACGGTGGCGTTTTCTCAGTTGATGTTGGCCACCTCCTGGCCCTCGCCATCAACGACGGGCATGTTTAGTTGCTGGGTGACGTTCGATTTGGCCAGACAGGAGCGGGCCACCGATTCGAAGAGCCTGCGAAGAATACCAAGAACACATTGCCATATTAATATCAACTCTTTTTGCTTCGGGGAAAGCATCCAAGGTGCGACTTGCTTACTAAAAAGTTATATTTTCATAGATTAATGCTAAATTGTAAAAAATAGGAGGTTACAAACGAATATAAAGAAAGGTTAACATGCAAAATGAGTGGGATGGTTGCTTCGCTTTGAGGCCTGAACTTGCTCTCTTGCTACGATGC